CCAAATGAAAGGAAAGAAGGTTTCAAACTTCCTTTATAACCTCCTTTAGCTTAGGAACCACTGGACCTCCCTAACCGAAAGGAGAGGAGAAAATGCTGCCCCACAATGCCTTGCAGCCGCAGCATTTGCCGTCACTCAACAGTCGGCCGTTCACGGACACAAACGATTATGACCGAGAAATGATATCATGAAAGTTACAGTGCTTATTAAGCATTTTAAAACGTATGTGGTAAGTTGCCAAAGTGCTTTGTTTTGAACGTTCATCAGTATTATAATCAAAAAGAGAAATATGAACGTTAGTTTTTACTGAAATGATCAAATAAAGTCAACATTTCACAGTCTTTACTGAGCTGTGTGGAGTTTGTTCAACTTTTAAAAGATGTTTGAATGTTGATATACACAGTGATAGATGTTAAGGACTAACGTTTATAATAAATACATTTGTATTGATTTTAAGATATTTTCATACAATCATACGTATTGGGATCATTTGTATTAATGTGGACCGGAGGGAGAGGGTGACGAGCATAAGTTTCACTTTCCTTTTTTATTTCAATTCCAACTTTGGTCATGAAGAATATGTTTCTCTGTTGTCCACGTTCATAAAGCATAAAGCAACAGCATCAGAGCACGGTGCAGAGTCTCTAGATGAGTTTACAGTAGTCCCTCGTTCTTATTAAACATCCATGTTGTAGTCCGCTGTATAGAAAACTGTAGTTTCCATAGTTTCCCCACAGCAGCAGACGCACATTTATGACGTCCGCTGGCGCATCATAAACACGTCGGATAGTGAAAGTGCATTCGGATTCTCTAAAGCAGTGATTCTCAAATGGGGGTACGCGGACCCCTGGGGGTACGTTGGGGTACTGCAGGGGGTACGTGAGATTTAAAAAAATATATATACCATGCATGATTACAGTACAATACGTTAAATAGAAAACACAATTGTATATAAAATATTCCTAGAACCACCAAGGGTTCAAGATCCGTTCTTGTGCTTTTCTGGTGCTTAACTGGTTGTTTTCTGTTTTTAATGTGTGTGGTCACGTTCTAGTCACTTTGCTCTGCGCTACTGCTTGTTACAGCTTGCCGTACTTGCCATTAACTGTTATTGCTCAGGTTAATTTCGTCCCCCTCCGACGTGAGCGTGAAGTATTGGTTATTGCCGGGCAGACAAGTGGGGATAGCTAAGAACCGGGTTTCGGTATTGAAAGCCGGCTCCGCTGCGGTGGAAACCGGAAGAACCAGAGCTAAATCAGGCTCTAGCCCGGAACCACGCCGAGCGGGAAGCCAGTTGCAATATTAGATTATAACAAATAGATATTGAAATGGAATTGTGGTTAAAAACGTAGCAGCACTACAGCAGGGAACATGGACAACGGAGAAAAAAAGAGAGCCAAAATTGAGCCAACAAAATGCCGTCAATATCAGGAGGCGTATGCTTTGAGTTTGATGGGATCAACAAACGGCAACCCGCCCCAGGCATTGTATTTTTTCTGTGGGGAGAAACTAGCCAACAGCTCGATAAAACCAGCGCACTTCCAGAGACATCTCAGCACCAAACACCTGTGTCATGTTGGTAAGTCACCGGAGTTTTTCAAGAGAAAACTTGCTGAGTACAGATCCTCGCAAGAGATGATGCGAAAAGCCTCCACAGCATCAGCCAAAGCACTGAGGCATCGTATGTGGTGTCTCTTCTCATCGCTAAAGCTAAAACTCCTAAATAGGGTCATTGCAGTGTTATTACAGTTTGTTTATAATTGCACATTTTACAACGTTTTTTAAAAAAAAAGCTTTTCATGCATTGTGGTCACTACATTCGAGACTGCTAATTTAATGCTGTTTTCTTGTATATGCATGGGGTTTCGGATGGTATAGTTGCACATCATTTTATTATACTATTTGTGTATTGTATTTTATTGTTTTTGCATAATATATCATTTTGTTCTTTGGTTTGTTCAACATATATTACTTAAACATTTTTTTTTTTTTAAATGTCGTTATGTTCTTTTTTTTCATGCATAAAGATGAAAATATCCTTAGTTTGTTGTAATTCATGAAGGAGTTAATAAATCATACACTGATGGAACATCACTATATTGTAATTATTTATATAGGCTTTTTCTATCAAACATATTCGGGATCGGTCAGGGGGTACTTGGCTGAGAAAATGTTTCAAAGGGGGTACATTACTGAAAAAAGTTTGAGAAGCACTGCTCTAAAGTACCGCAGTCTCTTCTCCTAAGTCCTTTTGAATTCTCCTATCCACTATCCCTTAACCCCGTGACGTTTCACTCAGAGGTCAAGGAATAGGAGATAGGGTTAGAACTTAGGAGCTGATTTTTGGATTATCGGAACGCAACCCTGGTGTCATGAATCATCATCCTCCCTTCATTCTTTCAGGGCCAAAGTGATTGAACAACAATTCATCACCAAATTCAAACCAGGCTTACACTAGATGAAACCATATTACCCACAATCAGAGGGAGAAGTACTCAGATCTTGTAGTTGAGTAAAAGTCGAAGAACCAGAGTGTAGGAATATGTTACAGTAAAAGTCCTGCAATCAAAATGTTCCTCAAGTAAAAGTAGAAAAGTATTCTCATCAAAATATAGTGAAAGTAGCGACAGTAAAAGTAGTCGTTGTGCAGATTGGTCCATTTCAGAATAATATATATGATATGTTTTATAATGATTGATCATGAAAGTGTTCTCAAAGCTGGTAAAGGTGCAGCTAGTTTGAATGACTTTGTATACTGCAGGGTAGCTTGAGGATTTACTCCAGGTGGAACTAAAGTCTGATTCAACACTTGATTAGATTTCACATCATTCATCCACATCTGAGAAGTAACTAAAGGTATAAATACATGTAGTGGAGGAAAAGTACATAATTTACCTCTGAATTGTAGTGGAGTAGAAGTACAAAGTAGCATAGAATGGAGATACTCATGTAGAGTACAAGTACCTCAAAAGTGTACTTAAGTACAGTACTTGGGTAAATGTACTTAGTTACTTTACACAGCTGCCCACAATGCAACTAGACTGCATTCATTTACACAGATCAGGGCGTTTCTCACTCCACACCTGTAAGACAACCCTTACACAATAAGGTCACCCTGTCCTTTCATTCACTTTTGTTGGCATAACAAGAAAACCTTCCACTCCAAGTGCTCCTCCTGCAGCCTGCATGCAGCTCATGTTGAGTCTTTTCAAACTGCAATGATGATATTCAGAGAAAAGGTAAAAGTATCACTACTCATTTTCCACTACAGATCGTGAATTCTCATTGGTACTAACGAGTGATTGTGCTTTTTAATCGAATACTATTATCTTACAGATGTATTAACTAGTTACTTTAGAAATTCAGTTTTTGACACACAGTAGGCCTACCTACGAAAAACGTAAAATAGGATTATTTGGTATAGATGAAACCATCCAGCATTATATTTAACTGACTAAAACCATGAGTGTGTTCAGAGAAAGAAAATTGGCAGAAATTATGCTAAGAAGTTTCTGTTCAAAAAGATCTCACAGTCTATACTCTTAAATGTGAAGATTGGCTGCTAATGCTTTTAAAATATTGTAATGTTTTTTTAGCTTTTCCCACAATGAGTATCTTTAAATCTTATACTTTAGGTAGTATTTTTCATACTTAAATATGTTTACTTATTTATCTAAGTAGTTATCACTGTAATTATTTAATTATTTAATTTCATCTTACTGTACAATATTGAAATGTACATTCTCTTCTTTTATATATCATTCTATTAATGTGTATATAGACTTCTTGCACTATTTATTTATTTTATTGTTTATGTCTTACTCTTATTGAACTATGTTGCATGGTTGGAGGAGCTCGGGACATAAGATGTGTATTGCCATTTCTACTCCAAAACGTATGTGCATATGACATTAAAGCCTTTGACTCTTTGAATTGAATCTTTGAATCTTAAGTATGATACCTGATGCAGTACTTTTACTTGAAATGTAGTCCTTTTACTCAAGTAAAGAATCTGAATACTTTTTCCACCACTGGTAATATTCAGGACATTCAGATGCAGTCTCCTTTTATGTAAAGACATCCTGGGTTGCTGAAGGAGTCCTCCATAAAAATGAAAAAGTGTAAAACTACAAATAATTCATATTGAATCCCTGCGATCATTCAGAATCAGAAACAGGTTCATGTCTGAATGGGTTTACACATGCATACATAAACACAATTAGAGGAACTACGTTGCAACAGGAGCAAATATAGAAATATTGTAACAAACTATTAAAAAAACGATTACACCATTATAAATAAATACATATTTTCAAGAAATATAAATATACAAACAATTAAGTAGCCTACACCCAGAAACCTGCAATATGTAATGTTCTATAATTGGTTTGGGTCCCCTTCATGTAACAGACTGGAAAGAGGTTTACAAATCTTCTTAGAGAGACATTTGTTGTGGACTAATATAAGCTGGAGACGGGACACAAAGTTAAGTTTTCGCACAATTGATAGAATGCTTGGACGTCTCGGATATATATTTGGATTTGAAGATTTGATAAGGTTTAAACTAATGAAACAGACTTAGGTGTGTTATGCTGTCTATTAGTTAGTAGATATCTTAACCCTAAGTCAGTAACGGGAAAGACGAATCCTATACAAGTCATAGGTTGTAAAAAAAAAAATCCTTTCGTATCACGAGTATAAAAACATATAAATGTAGCCTACTGGCCGTATATTGTATCCACACCTACATCCACATTTTTAGACATGTCTTGACTCCAAACAGCTCTTTGCTTCTTTAATGGTAAAACAAACTATATTTGTTTTAAATTAAACCAAACCGTGTAATTTGAAATAACAGCCACAAACTCCAAATCATAGCCCAATTCACCAGCATGTATGTTCCTTTACCATCCCCACACTGAGAGCGTCACACGGGCACGGCGGGGTCAGTGACCGCGCACGCCGCCTGTTTATCTATATGAGAGATTCTCGGGAGCGCGCACCCCCTGGCCGAGGAAGGTGAGCGAGTGTCTGGAGGGGAGGACTCGGGAGCGCGACCAGCCGAGGGATCGATCGGATTAAACTCGATTTGAGTGAAATTAACACAAAGGAGAGAAGAGCAACGCACACTTGTCGGCGAGGTCGAGGATGCGAGACACGCCGGAGAAATATTTGATGATTAACAAAACTTGAACTTTTTTCCTCTGTTTATTTATATTTCGAACGGAAAAGGACCACGGTGGATTTTTTTTCAAGCCAGCGGAGATACTCTACTAACGAGGAGTTGATTTGATAAAAAGCCCGAAGTGACCGAGCTTGTTGGGTAAGCTAACAAGTAACCCTTTTGAATGAGTGCAGTTTAATTTGTGTCGAGCAGAATTCAGTTAGTGTGAGTGTTTGATTGTATCCACTGATACTGATTCATTAGCGTTTATATTCTGTCTTATTAGTAAGTTTTCCATACTTTTCCAACGATATCGCACTCTTTTTAATGTGCGGTGCGAGTTGGGTTTGCATTTCATTCAAAGCTTACTCATTGGAAATCTTACGTTCAGGGCTACTGTTTCATTAAGCCTCTGTTTTGTATTCTCTTTTCAGCATAAAGTCATTGAAGGTCTATGTAGCTACCATGCCGACATGCTAACAATAGCAAGTTTAGCTTTGCCACCCGCTGCATCGGTCACACACACACGCACAACAGTCCCGTAGATAGTTGAAAAGTGGAAAGAAAAGCATCCATACAAGACCGAGAGCCTCTCCAGTGTGTAGTCTGGTGCCACGATAACTTGTTGAATTTGGTAAAATGAAAAATTGACTGAATTTAGTTTTAAAGTGTAAGTGTTAGCCCTGTTAGCTAATTGTGTTGAAGCTTTCAGGAGACACGAGGTGGCTCGAGCGTAGAGGTGAGTCACTGGCCGCCTGAATGAGAGGAGCTGAGTGAGACTCCCAACGGAGAATACTTGGCAAATATCGGCCTGAACGCTTCGCCATGCATACATGAACATGTTCCTACTTCAAACTTTAATTGGTGTTTTTATTTAAACTGAACGACTATGTTTTTACTGATAGGGGACAGCGAGAAGTGTCCGTAGTAGTCGCTAGTTTTATTGGACGGAAGGGACAGAGCAGTGGAGGCGAGGGGGGTGGGGGCAGTGAGGCCAGGCGGTCATTCCATACAACCGTGTTTTCACGTTGTTTTTACCACGTTTTACCTTACAAAAAACAATGTACATATACGGTAAAGACTTGAGTCCGATTGAACGGCGTTTAAAAATAATGGAGAGTGTTTGACTGCTATAAAAACCGAGAGGAGCGTTCCCTGGTCCGGAACGACGTGCGAAATACTGCTGATAGGCTAATTAGCCGTGCTAGCCGCTGTAGGTTAGCCCACCGAAGTTCTGCTAGCCAGCTCTCATCCCCATTGTGTACGGGCGAACACCACTTAGTAGCCCCCCAAGCTAGCTAGAAACCTGCTCGGGGCGGTTATCAGTCAAAGTGTGGCTCGTGGGCAAGAAAATGTTAACTTTCCGCATCCTTTGCTTCACTTTTTGTCGAGGTTTAAAGAACACAAAGTAACGCTACGCTTTCCGCGTTTTGGCTTTTGTTGTTTGTAACATTGTATGCTGCGACCGAAGTTTGTCGTACTCTCCGGCTACACTTGTTACATTGTATGGACGAGCGAAAAAGCAGCATAAAACACCTGCTTGTGTCCATTTACTTCAGGCTACACGGCAGCACACAAACAACAGTTTTTTATTTTCTTTTTACAACGCGACTTTATTGCGTGCAATCCAGCACTCTTTCTCCATTATGGGTTCTGTAATCGGTCAACTTGCATAATGGTCATCCACTGCTTTCACGCAACTTTGTTGTCTGCGCCAAAAATAAAAAAACAACTGAGCGCTTCAACCTGAAAACACACACACTGGAAGTACTTTTCAGTTTTATTCACAGTTCCCTACATTCAGTCTACATGTTCGTTCTTTTTCTTCCTCCCGTCTACCATATAATCAGGGGCTGCTACCCCCATCAACTTGTGTCTGTGAGCCAAGATGGCAGCTAGTCATGTTTAGCGGGCCACAGAGGGAGAGATAAGAGGCCCCGACCACACATACATCTCACAACAGATGTTCAGCACTATTTAGTCTTCCCCCGTTTGTTTCTCTGCATTTTCTTGTGGTTAAATTTGAGGCACTGTTCCTCCCCTCGGTTTCTTATAGACATTTGATGTGGACCAAGCTGGAGATGGGACTCAAAGTTGAAATGTCCCCACATTTAGTACGCATGTTTGGACTGCTTGGATGATATGTTTAGATTTAAAGATCTGATGTAGTTTGAACTAATACAAAAGTGTGTTATGCTGTCTAATAGTCAGTAGATATTGTAACCCTAAGTTAATACTTGGATGTATGTACTGCATTGTAGGGCCCATTTATTTGTCTAAAGCGAGACATATCGCTTATTCCTTTATAAAAGAAATACTTTGCGCTCTGTTTCATAAGCTTAACATATATTTTTTGTCATGCTTATGTTTTTCCTGTCCTGTTTTCAGTCTGATGCTCCGCAATGTCCCCGACATGGCCACCTTACACTGGGGTTAAGAAATGTAGATGCAGCGAAGTGACTCATTCTCTTCAAAGACAACATTAAGATTTACCGGTTTATTGAGATTTTACAGTATGCTGCAGTTCAATCCGGTCTAATATCCATGCACTGTTGCTCGTTCTCCACATTTTTACACCCATTATCCCATCTTCGCACAACAAACAAGCCAATATTTCTCATGACCATGAAGCTTTAACCAAGCCACTGTATGCCATGGCCTTGTTCGTTGAGTCTTAGCTTGTGGAAGAATGAAACAAACTTTGTTTATAACAGTTGTCCACCAGTGTGTCACATTTTTGAATAAGCCGTTCCTGACCTATGAATCAATAGTGTGATCGGCTTTTGTTATCTGAAAGTCTTTACTCACAATGTGCCACCTTCTATTGACCTTTTAACCAACACTTACTGTATTCAGGATAGCTCGGAGCAAGACATCTAACCATATGAACATGTAGGAAGAAGGGCCTGATGCCAAGGGCAGTTTGTATGTGCAAATGAGAGCACGAAAAGTCCGCGGAGCCCCTATCGGCATGCATTGAGCACTCAGGCTTGAGCTGACAACACTGATGCTGTTGTACTCTGCCAGTGAAAATGGCCATTGTTCCTGTCTTTTCCCCTCCCTTCTGATTTGACTCTTTGCTGTGTATTGTCCACCGACGTCCCTTGCTAATCTTTTATTACTTTTATTATTATAAAAGTCTAACCCATCAGGAGATAGTTCTCTCCCGTTCTCACTCATTTCTCTCACCCTTTCACTTATTCAATTATCAGTTAAAAAAAACAGTCGCATTAACCAGAGTTTAGGTTTTATTTCAATTTTAAATATTTAGTAAAGCTATTGGTCTGTGATAAGGGCTGGAGGCTGTTTTATGTTTTTACGTTTTTATCAAAAGCACATTTTCACTTTCTATATGACTTGAAGCATTAGCCCCGACTCGCATTCTAGGTCCAATGAGGTGCTGCTGTGGTTGAAACACAAATACCAAAATGTTTTTTAATACTTTACTGAAACAAAATTATGAATTATTGTCAGCATCTTGCGAAGTGACTGTTTATCGGAATAGTCCTGCCTTTTATAATTAGAATAATAGCTGAAGATAAAAAGCTACCATAGTCGGCACCATAAAACTATACATTTTAACTGAACAGTAGCATTGGGTAGGTGACAACAGGCTGTACTAAACAATTATTTTCTTTATCAATTCATCTATAAGATTAAAAAGAATATATCTTAATGGTCCATCCTTTCCCCCAAAGTCAAACGTAAGTGAACTTATGGTTGCAGTTCGAGTTGGCAAACTATTAAATCACATCCCCAAGAAATGTATTTCCCATTGGCTGTGAGAAAATGTCCAGAAAGCACTCGGAACTCAGACTGCCAGGTTTAAGTAAGTGGATAAAACAGATCTGAAATGAAAGCCTAAGATCTATCAACATTGTGCTTTAAGCACTTCCTCTCATGCCAAGCTGACCTTACCAACTGACTATTAAAGCTCTTCAGAGGCATAAAAAACAACCATGTAATGTATAATATATATATTTTAGCACGGCATATATTCAACAAAAAAACACTCTAAACGCCAACTGGGTGTAGTGCATAAATTGAAAGCTGAATTGATTTCAATCTTTGCACAATTTGTAAATACCTTATGTTTCTGCCCTAGTTCTCTTTTTTATTTAGGATTAAGGTAGATAGATATATACTTTATTGATCTGACAGTCCAGAACCTTTCCTCAGTATCACCAGAGAAAAACATTGAAATGTATTTGGAGGTGGGCCACTATTGAGCAGACGTGTTGTTCCTGTGCATGGTGGGGGGCACCTGATGCTGTGGAGCTCCTGATGGACTCTTGGTGCTGAAAACCTGGTGTTGGGTATCTGAGGTTGGTGTTGTTAGGGTGGCCATTTTGTCTCCCATCATCATGTGTCATGGATGGCAGGCCTGTTAGCAGAAGAGCTGCTGTTGTTTTTCTCAATCTCTTTCATCTCGCCATATATCGCTCCACCTTCACCCCTCACCCACCCTCCCTCCCACTCCCTTTCTACTATGCATGAGCTCCCTCTCTTCTTTCTCACCCTTTCCATCTCCCCCTCTCTCCATCTCTCCCTGCCTGTCTGCTCCCCCCTCCTTCCCTCCCCTTCTTCCAGTCCTCTCATTTCCAGCCAAAAGGTTAGCGGGGGTCTTTAGCACCGTGGTGACATTCAAAACTGAGTGTCATCGCTGTCTCTCTCGCTCTCTCTCATCCCTCCCTCTCACCTGTCTACCCCTCCCCCCTCCTCCTCCTCCGCACTCGCCCCCATCCTCCTCCTGCAGCGAGGGCCTTCTGGACCGAGTGCTGTGCCTAGAAGAGAGGCTGGTGTTAATGCAGCTCTCGAGTGTTTGTGTGTGGGCTGTATGTGTGATAGAGGAGACGGCCTGTCGAGTACATCTCTGACCCAAGTGTGTGCGTGCCTTTTGAATCTATCCTTGACCTCTCCCACCATGATATATATCGTATCCTGTTTTCCCTCTTCATCCTTCAGCTCTCACACAACATCTAACCTTTCTTCTGCTGGGAAACAAACAAGCCAAGCTAAATCCCCGGACCCTCCACTGGAAATATGTTGGTGTCATTAGCTGCTGATGAATCCCATCACTGAGAATATCATCCGTTTTGCACGCTGTGGTTTAATGGCACTGTTGTGGCGTCCACACATCCTTCCACTTTTCTTTAGCATTTCTCTCCAAGGCTGATGAAAGGTTAAGTGCTGCTTGCTTGTGGAATCAACATCCAATTATGAAGATGTAGATGGACGCTAGGTCAGAGGGATGTATGAACAAGGATGGAATGTGCAGGAGAATTATTATGTATGCATCTCTCCACTAAACCTGTTCCTGTCACACTTCCTGTGAACTGACACTGCTGCTTATTGTCCAGTTTTGTTAGCTAATGTTTGTTATTATTTATAGCACTAGCAGCCTGAGTTTCATCCTTCTGAAAGTGTTACTCTGCTCAAAGTGCTTAGAAGATTGTGCACTGGATTCAAACCAACATCGGAAGCACTTTTGATCCTGTAGAGCGGGGGTGCCCACACTTTTTCAGCTTGGGAGCTACTTTTAAAATGACCAAGTCAAAATGATCTACCTACATTAAAAATGCTAAACATATATATATACTGAGTATACCTTATGTTGGTGCACCTTGCATAACTGCATGAACCTGTATGGCACAATACAACTCAGTACATTTGTGACCTGCTCCATCGAATTCAGTCGCATTGATCCGAAGACACATTTTGAGTTGTATACACTGCTAGAAAGAGGATATTCCTAGCTTTCTAATGATATCAGGATTGTTGTTGTACTCCAAATATTAAGTGAAATATGTCACATTATATAATGACTGTCACCGAGTCATCATTTTGAGAAAAAGGCCTTTAAAGTTTCCTCTTCTCTGGAATCCATCGATCTGATTGATTATTAGTGGAGAAAATGATCAAAATACTACGGAGGGAAGATATTTTCGTTTGGAGGGGAAGCTCGTGAGTGTGTGTGTGTTTGTGTATTTTTGTGTGTATTGTGTTTGTTTCACGGGGAAAACACTCACGTGAAACACCGGCTGTTGTTATGCCTGCTGTGACGTCAAGTTACTCCGTTCTCCGCTTGTAATTATGCCGAAGCTTCAAAGTTGTATTTATCATCTGAATTTGCCGAAACAAGTTTAATATTCTGAAAGCCAAGACTTTGTTTATTTAAAATAAACAAAACACCCGAACCACGAAAAGATGGTTTTTTTACGCATATCCACGTTTATTTTTGAAATGAGCCGTTGCGACTTCCGACTGATTTCGATAGAGCAGGTCACATTTTTGGTCATTACGTCAATTTTATACCCTTTCTTTAGTAGAATTTTATAAATTGGAAGGCTATCTAGGTAATCAGCTCGCCGGTGAATTGCAGCTGGCGCGGTTGACCGTGCATGCGTGGTGAACTGCGTGTTAGAAAATATGAGATCTCAGACTGGCTTGCCTGTACGTCAATCAAATGCCATAGTAAGGATGGATGATAGGCTAACTTATTTTAATTAGATTTTTTTCAATGCCATGTGATCTACCCACACTACCTTTGCGGTCGACGTATTGAGCACCCCTGCTGTAGAGACTCTGGGAAAAGTGGTGTGTGCGTGCGTGGGCCCCAGGGGAGAAGTTACCCCACAGCTTTATAGGAAGGACTCTGGAAGTGAATTGGTTGTTAGCAGGTGGGGCATGGGAGGGGAACTGGCCAATCTCTGGGGACGCGGTCCGGACCTGCCTGTACCATTGGTCTAAAAGGGCATGTCAATATCAGTGATTGATTATGGAGGTATGGGGGAAGCACGCAAAATAGCCCAGCCTATATACTGTGTGCCTTCCTGTTTGCTTACAGCAATAGTTTAATGTCTTCAGTATTGTGGGACATTTACAATGAAAACCTCTCTGGAAGTTCTGTCTTATTCAACATTTCTTTCAAAACCTAAAATGTAGACTGAAATGTTCTGCCTGTGATGTTGTTGCTCAGAAATGTTTCATCTTACTTTTTGTTGCACATGGATGACAAATCTCCGAACAGCCCAAAACCACTGGTGTTTTTTTGACATGCTGAAGAGACTCCCAGGTAGTGACAAATCGTGTAGTTTTTGAAGCAGGGGTTTCCCCAAAGCCTGTAACGGGGGCTGTGATAACTCATCTGCAACACTGAGCATTTCCCCCTCACCGGCAACAGTTTTTTTTCTGATGTTACCATAATAATGCTAACACCACTATTAAGAGTATTTACATTAAATAAATGGCAACTTAGAAGTACAGAGGGATGTGATCTTTTAACAGAGTTAAACATATATAAAGTCACTGAATTAATTCATTTTTTAATAATTACTTAATTTATAATACATTAGTCTTTTACACATGCGAAGTAGCATTTGAAATCTAATATCTATTCTTTAAAATGATTTACTGTCTTCCTCTTGCATTAATCAA